AATCCAGGACTGGGAACAAAGTGCCTTATCCAGATGTTTCACGAATGCAAGCGGCACCCATACGTTTGTTCATCCAAGTGAATTGATCCCCTTGGTAACCAGGATCATGGATACCCAAATCATGAACAAAGTCACGTAGACTAGTGGCTTGTGCAGCATTCCACGCCAGACCCCATCCTTTTCATCCTCATGGAGAGTAGTGTTAAAATCACCTATGACAACATAGGGGTGATTGATGTTCGCACAAACTTCCCGCAGCTGAGCCAATTGAGTAGTTCTTATTGCAACAGTACAGCTAATGTAAACAAAGATCATAAAATAAGAGAAATCTCCTTCATTAATTTGCGTACAAATGTACAGATTGGAATGAAAAACACCAAAGTGTCAACCCCGGGGGACCAAGCTACTACTAAACCACCCGATGCATCAACCGCATCAACAAAGAAACAATGAGAAAGAGCAAATCCTAAACCCCGCATATGGCGGGACACTACACGCCGGCTCGATCGCGTTTCAGAAAAGAACACGAGATCTGGTTTATTCGACTAAACTAGCCCTACAACAGTTTGGAAAGTGAGGGATGGCCCAATTTCTCTCACATTCCAGGCAAGAAGCCTCATTTATTGGCTGGGGGCCACTCGAGGCTGGCTTCCTCCACCTCATCCAAAACATCAGCTGATTTCACAAATTGCTTCTTCGGGGTAGGAGGGTCACCCACATCCCCGTCCAACTCATCAAGCACCCACTTCCGATTCTCCATGATTGGGTCCATTAGATTAGACCTATACTCACCCAGGCTCGAGCTTAACCCCTTGCTAGAAACACCCTCCTCCGTGCAATGACTAGCCTAGCTTCAAACGCCTCCACCACTTGGTTAACACGCCATGTCATGACTTGGCGAGTCTGCATGGAGGCGCCAACTGGTGACCTTCGCTTGATTCCAAAAGAGTGGTGATCCTATGTCGACTGATCTCTATCCGATTCAGTGGCATGCTGATGATCCTCATAAATAGGACCATCCAGAGTCGCAACAATCTCGGTATCCTCCAGATCCAACAGAGCACCAGATGGAGTAGAGCCCCCATCTTGATTGGATATAGTTAGAGGGCAGCTTGCTCCTCCTTTCCTCAGACGCGGGTGAACCCGTGGTGCCGAAATCCCTGACTGGGTCACGATCCTGGAGGGCACCCGAGGATCCTTCAGAGGCTTATGGACAGGGTCTTTTGTAGGGCCTAAAGAATTACATGACTTCATGGGGTGTATGGTCTTCTCACCCTCGGTCTCTTCCTCCTCGTATTCCTCCTGTAAAATTAGCCTACGCCGCCGGGATTGCTCGAGAGTCGCCGCCATATGATCCGCCACCTGCTAGCGTTGGGAGCCTGCCTGCGCATCTTCCAGGCTGCTGGCGACCCTTGGTGCCTTATCGAGGAAGAGAGGCAACATTTCTAGGCGACAACTTCTTCTGGTGTTGCTGAACACCACCACCAATCTTAACCCGAGGCGACGTCTTGAAGACAAAGCTCTTGGGGCTAGCACGATTCCCATGCGGCTTGTTATTGAGTTCACGCAGCGTAGGCTGTGTCTCATTTCTAGCTTGAACATTCGGCTCTCCTCTCAGAGGATGATACGTCTCTTGAGCATGTGAGCGGTCATTAGGCACTGGTGGTAACACCACCTCTCAATTTCTTGCAATCTTCTCACTCCCATCGTTGTGCATTTGAACATTCCTGTTAACCCACACAGACTTGCTGGCATTGTGAAACTTAGGGTAATCTTCCTCATCCATGTAGATCTTTCTTCTTGGCTTCCTTGTAGACATGTGCGGGCCAAAGCGTTCTTTACCCAGTGGGGGATCAAAAACACATTCACGTTTTGAGTGTCCCACGCGGCCACAGTGGTAGCAGAAAGTCCGTAAAAAATCATACTTGAGATTTACCTAGAAACTGTCGAGCTCTTCACTAACCACCATGAATTGAGACCGTAGAGGCTTGGTAAAATCGATGAGAGCGTGCACTTTTACAAAGCACTCACCCATGTCCTTGGACGCAAAGACATCTGCTTCCAAGACCTGGGCGATAGTTCCAGCTGCCACTTTCTATCCAAACTGCTTAGTGCAGCAGTCATCTTTCACGTTTCATAGTTGAACGCGAAAGGGAGTAATGACCAAATCATTAAAAGTAAGCCTCGAGATAGATGGTGTCCACGAACGAAGGTGAAAAATCCTGTCCTTAACAATCCAGGGTGTTCTTTTCAGAATCCAAACCCTTGTCTCATCACTTGGAAGAACAACCACAAATAGGCCAAACTTAGTGACCGAAACCCTAAGGTTTCCTTTCACCCGCCAAGCATCAATCAAGCCATCCCTCAGCTCTGTAGGAGTGAACTTGGTTTCCGAAAATAATCTCCGCAAAAGGGTCCTCGAGGTCGAGGTTCGAAACTTCACAGATTGGACCTCCTCAAGTGAAGACTCGACCACTTGATCCTCCGCTATACGCGACATCGTATTCACCTGACACAAAGGGATAGACAAAGCGTTAGAGGCACATGGTCTGGCCGCAAAAGGCTCGGCCATTTAGTCTGGCGCCAGCAGACTATGAGGAAGAGAGGGGGGTTTTGCAGGCAAGAGGGCAGTGGGCTCAATCGAAATAGAGCAAGGAATGGAACGTTAGGAATAAATACCAGTACCTGACGAAAGGGCAGAAGCAGCACGCTGTTGATGGGGGAGGCTGCTATTCTCGCTTTTCCAACAATCACAAGACGCCGAGCACAGCACAGTGACGGGTCAGCGAGAGGAGAAGCATATTTATAGGCAAAAGAGTCTTTAGTCCCCAAAAGAAAGCGGGTTCCCCTGTTCCTTCCGGCTCTTAGAGTATGGATCGGATTAGGAGATCTCTGCTGGGGTTAGTAATTTATTTTTTGAATCGGATATGGCTCCCACAGATCCTGCCCAACAATAATGAAAAATCGGGAGAAAAACCATCCGTAACCACCCAGCTAAGTCGCGTCCCACCAACCTGTGATGAACGTCGGCGCCACTAGACTGGACGACCAGCTCGTCGCCGGTGATAGTAGGGCTAGTGCATTACATGTCACTTTCTTGTATAGAAAAATAAACCGGTTGGTGTTTCTTTTGCTAACAAAAAGCCCACCAAACCAACCACCGCCACTCACAAATGTTTTACTGAAATTGCAAAATTAAACTTTTTACAGTGTGCACAGAAGCCCGGGCCCTCTGACAGCGTTGTCAGTTTCAGAGACAATAATTTAACTAACCAATCATTTTCTAAGTTAAATCCCCGCTTCACCCACAAACCACCTTTGTTTTTAAAAGGGAAAAAGAAAAAGGAAAAAAAGAGTCGACCCTTTCTCTCTGCTGCTGGGTCTGGACTGTCCCGCCGGTCAGTCGTCACGCACCCACGGACCAAAATCTCCACCAGTCAGTCAGAAGTGAACTCCGACATTTCCCACTACTCTTATTAAAATGGACTTCAAAGTTCAAACTGTTTTGGTATTCCCTTGGTACTTAATTATACTAATCTGCTCCTCCACCACAGCATATAATTAATCAAGATTAGAAACCAGATAAATAGTGTTTCAGACCAGAGGATGACATCATCATTGGTCAATCAAAAGCAGCCATTCAACTTTTGCAGGTTCAATGGACTCGTTATTCTAGAATCTATGCAAACACATGTGACTGTCTCTCCCATTCCATATCACTTCTCTTTCTTTATTTCCCACTTGCTACACAAACATACCCATTTGCCCAAATTTTCGATACCATAATTTAGGGGCGTAGCAGCATTAACTTAGCGACGGAAATTTTGAAGATTGCGTAAAAATATACTGAGTGATTTGAAAATTACATATAAACCACATGCAATCTATAAATGGTTATGTAATGTATTAGATGACATTCCATATTTGGGACAGGAAACATACTTCTTTTTCTTTTAAGTTAATTTTTGTTTCAAACTCAATCCAATCACTTAACTTTCAAAAAAAAATTCTCGTAACTTACTTCTTTTTCTTTTAAGTTCATTTTCCAAATGTTAATATTCAAAGACCTTTATTTTCCCTTTTTAAAACATACATTTCATTACCTCAACTATTAAATACACACAAAAGCGTTATTTACAGAACTAATCTCCACATACTAAGATTACGAGGGAGATTTGTACTAATTAATAGGGCTGAGAAAATAAACCAGACCGTTAGAAAAACCATGGTCCAAACCGTACCGCACAGTTTGATCCGGACCGTAGACCGTTAAGTATGGTCTGGTCTGGTCCATGGTTTGTATTATTTTATGTTTTGATCTCTTGGTCTGGTCTGGTCTAGACCGCGGTTTACCGGACCAAACCGTGGACCAAACCGACTTGTCAATACGTGTTAACAGCCCATTCGACCACTCTCCCAACTCCCACAACGACACCCAAGTCTCAACCTTAGTTTTGTGAATCTCGTCCCTCCTTCATTTACAATATATTTAACCAGAGAGTAGAGATAATCGTGTCTCAATATGACATTATGTTAATGTTTATGACGTTATGGTGCAAGTTGGGATGCTTTTACTTTGTATCTTTGTTATGTACTAAGATTTAGGGTATCAAAATTATGCATGCATGTTAGGATTAATGTTTTAAGGCAAATAACAATTATTTTTTTTGGTTATTGGTTCAATTTTTGTGTGGTTGACTAAACAAATTATTCATTTTTAGTTTAGTGTGGTCTATTTGGACCAGACCAGACCAAACCATACCACACAGGCGTGGTCTGGACCGGACCATATAGTTTGTGGTCTGGTCTGTGGTCTATACTTCAGCCTCTCGGTCTGGACCATAGACCGTATATATGATCTGGTCTGGACTAGACCGCACCGTTCCCCAGCCCTACTAATTAACCTCCCTTTATTATCATTATTTATTTTCCCCATCCCTAAAATCAATCCAATGTGGTTGGTAGCAATATTATACATTGAAAAAAAAAGGAAAAAAAAACTAGGACCTCGGTTTCCTGCCGCCATAAGCTTGCTTACACACTTCACTCGACTTCTGCGACGGACTACAAAGCTGCGACGACCCTGGACACCCTTCCAGGCAATTATCCCCCAAACTACCCGCCGCCACCGCCGCCCCACCGCCGAAGAAACCCGCCGGCGGCTTCCCGATCAAGTAATTCCCATCCAGGAACAACCTCCTCAAGCTCTTCTTCCTGCTGTACTCCAACGGGATCCTGCCACGTAGCTTGTTGTACCTCAACGACAGAGCCGACAAACTCGGAAACCCGGCGAAATTCGCGGGAACCTCCCCTTCGATCTCGTTGAACCCGAGATCCACCGCCACCAGCTGCCCGACGGCATTCTTCCCCGAACCCCTGGGCACCACGACACGCGTCAGGCTGTTATTCGCCAGATTGACCTGCTGGATCGCGGGCAGCTGGAAGAACCACGCCTCCACCGTTCCGCCCAGCGAGTTCTCCCCGAGATCCACCACCTCCAGCTGGGCCGCCCGCTCGAACGCCGATTTGGCCAGCGGGCCGGTCAGCGAGTTCGCCCGGACCGCCAGCTCCAGCAAATTGGGCGGCAGTTTGGGGACGGAACCGGTCAATTTGTTGTAGCTGAGATCCAGCCGCCTCAAATTGAGCATCGAGTCCAGCCCCTTGGGAATCCCACCTTCCAGCCGATTCCGCGACAGGTCCACCGACTCGAGCAGGTTGAGGGTGGTCAGAGCGGCGGGGATCGGGCCGGAGAAGGAGTTGGAGCGCAAGGTTAGGGACTGGAGGGAGGCGATTGAACCGATGGAGGCGGGAATGGGGCCGGAGAAGTAGTTGTCGGCGAGGTCGAGGGTTAGGAGGGCGGTGAGCTGGGAGAGGAGCGGGGTGAGCTGGCCGGAGTAGCCGACCGGGTCGAGGGTGAGTTGGGTGACCCGGGTGGAGTCAGGGGAGCAGGCGAGGCCGCAGACGAAGTGGGTGCGGCGAGGGAGGGAACATGGGTCGGCCGCGGCGAAGTCCCAGGAGGCGAGGCAGGACCAAGGCGGGATGGAGGCAGGGGAGATGGCCGATTTCAGAGCTTTCAGAGCCGAAACGTCTTGTGGGGAAGTGAGAGCTGTTAGGCAGGGTAGAAAGCAGAGAACAATTGGAAGGAGGAGGAGGAGGAGGTGGGAAATGGAGGAAAGCTGCATTTTTCCTTTTGTTAGGGGGAATTGGGAAAGGTTGGGATTGTGAAATGTGAGAGCAGGGGAGGGGAGTATTAGAGAGTTTGGGAAAAGGGGTGGGGTATGGCAATGGCTGGCTGGAAGGCACCAAAGGCGACAAAGGAAAGCTCAGGTTGGTGGTGGTATAGTCGTATTCACATTCACTCGTATAGTGATCGAAAGACAGTTCAATATATTCGTCGTCGTTGAATGTGACTTGGGGCAAGACATAGGTTACATATTTTTTTTTATGAGTTTATTTTGGATTTGGGGGTCTGATTTTTGCTGTCCATATATGTGAGTGGTAGGGTTTTGGGATTTGTTTGTTTATTACAAAGGATGTAGGGTTTTGGTGGTGTTAGATGAAATTTCTGGTAGAGTCTTTGGCATCACTCCAAACTAATTAGCTGTACTTGTTATCCAGAATATTAGGTTGATTGTATTATGAATCATTCAGTCATGATGATCCGAGTCCGTCTTGTTTTAATTAAATTGCTACCAAACATTAGTCGAGGAAATTATTCGTTTTAGGCGAATAAAAGGAAAAAATCTCACTAATGTGAAATGTATTTTTGGGGTTAGCATGCATATTATTTCTCAATCGTTTTATTAACGTACTAACATTACTTATAGAACTCATGTCGTCTTCAATCCAATGACCAAAAGCTTAATAAACTAGATTGTACAATGCCAGCAAATACTTGTTGGGAATTAAATTGCTACCAAACATTTATCTCCTTTAGATTCCCCACTTCACCATCACGATTGACAAGAACTTGCCAGTTGCCAGAGTTTAGTGTTATTTTAAATGGTTGTTAATGGGAATATGCATGCTCACAAATTGCGACAGCCAAGGCTTCGTTAATACTTAATAAGAATAAGATAAAATGATATGGTGACAGTATATAAAGCAAATGAGATTGGCTCAATATTAAAAACACATAATAAGGTGATAAAGTAACAAAAACAGAGGTGTTAAAGTCCAACTTTTTGGTGCTGCTAATCAAAGAAACGTTGATGAAAGAGTTGAAAGAACTATTTTGTTAGGTAGAATTGCCAGTTCAAAGATTTGCTGTCTAAGGGATAAACTAATACGAAAAACTAATCGTGCAATTTGTTAATTGCAATAAGCTACGGTTGATAGGGGTTAGGACAAAGTTTGTTAAATATTTTATTAAATGCAATGTGGGCATAGTGCTTTTTTTAATTAGATCAGAAGGGAACTAAGATCCAAATATAAAGATTAGTCAAACATGAAATAAAATCATACTTATCTTCAACAAATAGGATGACAAAAATAAGACTTGACGAATGACGAGCCATCGAGTGCAAATGAGTTGCCCTATTCTGTTTATACTCAACCAACAGAATAGAGAGCCAGACCAATGAGATGAGTGAGATAGAGTGCTTTAATGAGTATAAACTATAAAGTCGCCTAACCAAAGGAAAAAAAATCCAAAACTACCACTTTTTTAAAAAAATTTTACAAACTTACCACCCATTCTAAAAAAATTTCCAAATCTACCACCATCCCCCATAAACCGCGCCTCGAAGGGGCGGTTATCATGTAAAACGCGCGGGCAAGGGGCGGTTTGCAATTGGGCAGCTGGCAAAACGCGTCTCCACCTGGCGGTCCATGCAACCGCACCATGGGCAGGCGATCTGACGGCCTAACCGCCTGCCAGCGGAGCGATCGGCGTCGCCCGCGGGAAACCGTTGCCCTGAAGCGCCATTTGCGCGTTCGGAAACGTAAACTGTGTGCTGGAGGCGTGGTTTTTTGGGGGGTAAAAAGACTAAACCGCCCTCTCTAGCACGCGGTTCCTTCCCTATATAAACCCACCCCTTCCTCTCATTTTTTGCACAGCAAACCCCCATTTTCCTCTCTCTCTCTCTCTCTCTCTCTCTCTAAGTTTCTCACTCTAGCCATCCCCCCTCCCCACCCAAAAATTTTGGAAGTAGTTGTTTTGTTGGTTGCGGCTATGTCCGATCTGCCTTCAAAAAACTTTTCTTTGGTTTTCATTAAAAAACCGTCGAATCTCTGTCGTGATCCTGAAAAAATGACTGATTTTATCAAAGAAGAAGGTATTTACTATGCTGATTATCAAGCGGTACGCATTTTACCCAATTTTTGTTGTTGTTATAATGGTCTATTTAATTTATATACTAATTGATTTATGTTGTTTTTATGCTATCGTAGGTTGGGCCGGATGTTGATATATACAATCAACGATATTATGTTGATCAAGGACCGATTGATCCGACTATTTTATACGATCAATACAATCATCGTTCAAGAGACGTTTGGAACGACCACAAGGTGCATATTATTTATCATCACTTGTAATTTTTATTTTGTTAATGTAATTTATTTGTTTCTACAATAAATTACTTAATTGTTAATCGTATTGATTATTTTCAATAATTTAAATCAATATAATACAACACTTATTTAGACTCTTTATAAAGAAATGCATGTCTAAGGAAATGGGGTCTTAAGCGATCATCATGATCCTCACATGACCTGGGAAAATCGGGTTCTAAGCGATCCTCGGATCCCCCCTTTTTCTGTCAAACAGACTGTGTTTCTAAGGAGATGTATAACTCTCCTAAGAGTCTTACGAGTGTACTTGTATAACCATTAGTCAACGCATTTGACCGTCCAAGATAATGGTCAAACATCGAGTTTGGCCAATTTCGTTACTTTAATGTATAGTTTGGGCCAAGATGTTATAGATCGAAAAGATTGGTCAGGATGTTTATTATGTACAAAGTTCAGGCCATACAAATATATTAACCCTTTAATCAACTACATCACTCTCTCTCTCTCGCCTTTCCACAGTCAGAACCTTTTCACTTTCCACAATCAATTTCCTCATCTCTTTCTTTTTATGGTTACCCTCCTCCTAGGATCTTCGGGTTAATGACATACTTGTTCTTTTTTTTTTTTTTTTAATTTACCACCAATATGATAGTTTTTAAAGTATTGACACAAATATTGTGTATTTGTGTAGAGTAATAGGCGGGACCGCCCCACACCCAGGCGAGGCCCCATTTTGAATTTTTTTTGTTCAAGCAAAGCGGACCCACCCGAGTCAAAGGCAGTAGCACCAGAGACACAAGCGGCCTCGCTCCCCCTACCATTCCTTTCTTATCTTCTTCTCCTCCCAACCCCCACCTCTCACCCCAAACAGCCACGCCCAGGACAGAGACGACCGCGCCGCAGACAAAGACGGCCGCACCTCAGACAAAGACGGCCGTCTCCTTTCTTCTTCCTCAACCTCGACGGAGAAGAATCATATCCGATTTTTTCTTTTTGGAGAAGATGTCCGACGACAAGGAAGCAGTCGCCGACAGAGGTGGGGGCAGGCCGACGACGAATTTTTTTTGTTAATTGAATTTTATTTAGTGATTAATATTTTTTGTTGTTTTCCCAGTTCCTAGGCTTATGGACAGTTATTCCATGAGACTACCGCCTACGAAAATTGATCCAGCTCCGGTTGATTCGGTACTTATTTGGTGACATGGTCAACATCGTGTCGACTCAGTTTGGGCGAACGAGATAAGTATTTCATAACAACTACTTCTTTAAAGTTAATTAGCTAGTTAGATTAGATTAGACTATTATAGGTCTTAACTAGGTGAACTGAACTGAACTTAGAATAGAATTAAGTATGAATTTTTTTGAAATTAGTATAAGTTTAGATTAGATAGATTTTACTAGGTGAAATTAGAATTACGCATGACATGAAATTGAATTTATATTAATTTTATATGTGCATTATATGCTGGTGATCGACCTTACCATGTTCGAAGTACGACCAAACAATAAGGGTTTTGTGCCATAAAATCGAAGAGCACATTCAAACTATCATCATCCACAATAGACATCACATAATGAAATAAAACAACATTCTGCCATTCTGGAAGACGGTAAGTGAAACCTGTGATCACATCACTATCTTGTACTGCTTCGTCTCTATTATGTATTCTCGGAATTAGATTCTCACAAACTTGTGATATATCACTCTGGATGTGTTAACCTATAAATGGCGTACAAATTAGGGTTCTTGAGGATTTGGGAATTGGAAATGAAAATGAAGAATGAAACAGAACAAGGGAGTTTTTGATCTGATCGAAAATCCTCTTGGTTCTTTAGAGTGGGGAGTTGGGCTCAAAACCAAATAGGCCCAAAAGAGAACAGACAGATCCACCCAATTAGCAAACCACTCAGGCCCAAACCCAGAGCCCACTAGTTCCAGTTTCTGAAACGAGTCTTCTTCTTCTTCGCAGAGAAGATGATCAGAAACATATGAGCTTTTCCAGAACAGAGAAGCGGAGGAAGCTAACAGACTGAAAGCAATAAATAACACAAGGATTTTTAACGAGGTTACCCAAACTACCGGGTCAGTCCTCGTCCTAGACTCAGTACCACACTGAGGTCTAGGAGACTCTGATTTTTATTGGATTTTTTCCTATCAAGCAAAAGAGAAATCGAACTTGGAGACTCAAAGAACAACGAAAGTAAAGATGAAAGTTTCTTCCCAGATCCCAATTCCAGACCTGTTACACCGTTAATCGAACAGACCCTATTCCTCTGTTTTGATTAACCCACTGATGCAAAAAGCCCTGTACCGCCCCTTACAAAAGATGATTTGACGAAATGCTGAAGGGGAATTTATAGCCTTGAAACCTTGTGACCGTTGTCTTTGAATTGATGCAGAGAGGGTAAGTTTCTTGACAAGGTAACTTGATCTTGATTGATTTCCCACGATTGATTTCCAACTTTTCCTCCTTCAGCAATCTCCAGCCAACAATCTCCCCCTAAGATGGAAATAGCAAGTTTCCTTGAGATCCTGCAAAAACAAACAAACTTCCTCCACACAAAGAGATAAACTTCTGAAAAATTCCTCAATAACCAAGCAATCCGAAAAAGTCAATATGCTCAAGCAGTCACAGCAAAAACAATCAAGGACCACAGCCAGGTCAGG